CAGCAGCACACCCCACCTGCAGCACCAGCAGCATCTGGACGACGGCGGGTGGCACTCGGGCGTGGGCGCGGGCCAGCGCATCCTCCAGTTTCACGCTCAGGGTGATGGCGTTTCGGAAGTGCAGCAGGGCCAGCTGGCGCACGGACGGCTCCTTGCCCTGGGGACAGAGTGCACTGAGCCGGACACAGCTTCCTCCTGCCTGCCCAGGGCTGCAACCCTCAGGCCCCTGCCCCAGCCCTCCCCCGATGGCGCATCCCTAGTGAGGGGCCCCCAGACGGCAGGACAGCACAGCCCTGCTGGGCCTGGCCCAGCTGCCTCCCTCCCGGGCGAGACCATCACTACTGCCCTGCCCGCCCGCCTGCCCGCCCGCACACCTGCACAGGGTAGAAGATGGCCTGCAGCATGGGCAGCACGTCACTGAAGAAGAAATCCCAGGTCTCTGCCAGCGAGTCCAGCAGCTTCTGTCCTGTGGGGGAGGGGCATTATCTCATGCCCGGACCCTTTCCACACACCCAGGATCCTGCACTGAGCCCACGGGTGCCTGCCAAAGCTGCTGTCTACCCCGCGCAGCAGCTCCCTGGCCCGAGCCTGTCACGCAGCTGTCCTGCACCTCAGCACTCCCGGCTGTGAGATGGAATGGTGACAGGGCCACCTCCCAGGACCAGGGGACCAAGGACACTAAGCCATGAGGTGTTCAGCTCAGGGCCTGGCATTGGGCAACACTAGCAGCAGTTCCCCTGTCACGGCCATGCCTGTGCTGTCTCTGGTGCCACAAAGGGGCTGGAGCCCTGCCCAGGGTTGCCAGACCCAAGCCTTTATAGGATACCTGTAAATGCCCACAGGGGCACCAGGGGCCCAACTGATCCCCAACAACTTCAGACCCATCAGGCAACAGAAGGGATGCAGTGATGTGGAGACCAGCTCTAGGGTCAACAGCCTGGGCTGTGGTTCCAGGCCTCCTCCCCTGAAGGCCAGGCCATATGGCCTGCCTGCCAGGGATGGGTCTGGGGGAGCCAAAAAAGCTCCCCAACTGCAGCACCCCACCTAAGGCAGGAGGCTTCCCAGAGGTGCTTGTCCAGGCCAGACGCAGGAGCGGCTTCCCAGAGGGACTGTGGGGGGGTGTCTCGACTGCAAACCCCCAAGGCAGGTAGTGGAAAGGGTGTGTGTGGACAACTTGTGGGCACCTTGCTCGGCCCTACAGCAACTGAACTCCCCAAGCTGGCTCTGTGCGATGCCAGGAAAAGCAACCTTCTGCATGTGTCCCCAGGGGCTCTGGGCAAGGCAGGGAGTGTGCCTGAGCACCACCAGCTGCCTTCCTGATTCTGTGGGCATGTAGAGGCCGGATGGAAGCCTAGGCCTGCCCTCCTGCTTTCCCAGGGCCCTGTCCTCCCCCCATCCTTCCAAGCCCTGTCCAGCTGGCCCTGGGAGGTAGCCCAGCCTCCATGTGTGGCCTGCACCTGACTCAGGGTGAGGTGACCACAGGGGCCCCGCAGAGGGTGCTCATGGCCCTGGGGGACCTGCCTGCACAGAGCCCCCTCAGGGCCACCAACCCGTAGGAAGAAAGGGTGCTCAGTGTCCGCTGGCCGTGGGGAGGCCCTGGACACATGCCAGGCCACACTCTGCTGAGCAGGCCATTCCCCAGCCCACGGGCGGAAACTGCCGGAAGCAGCTGTTGAGCGCAGGCTGGGTCCTGTCTGAGTGACCTGGGCTGTACAGCCTGTTGGGGGGCCCTAGGGACGGGAATGACCACAGAAACCATAAATGGAGCCCAAAGAGTGCAGCCATGGGCCATCAGGCAGTGGCTTAGCCACACAGCCCATGGGGCAAAGGACCACAGGCTGCTTGCTAGATGCCATCAGCCTCCCCTCCCTAGGGGTGGCCCCCCACCTCCAACATGGCCACGGGACTATGGGTGGAGCCTGATGGGGTGGCTTGAGGCCTAGGCCACAGGTGGGTGGGTGTCCACCTGCAGAGATCACACAGGATCAGGAACCACTGCCTCCACGCAGCCCCCCAGGTGGAAGCAGCCCCTCCCTCCCTAGGCCACTGTTCATCTGCCACTCACCCCACTAGCCCATCTCCAGGTCCCCAGGTGCCACCAGGGCCCCATATGCAGTGAGCACCCTGCACAGGGACAGTGTCCCACCCCGTGGTACAGCAAGAGGGACCCCAGGTAGAGAGGACCTCACAGCCCCTCCCAGGGCCTGGGGTGCTTAACCCAGGCTGCCTGGGATCCCCCTCGTCCCTGCCACCTGCTTGGGAGGATGTGGCACCTGGCTCAGCGCTCCACCAAGCTGCACAAAGGACAGCCTCTGAGGACCCCATGCCTGGGGCCGAGTAGTGGGCACAAGCACCCTGGGAATGTGCTGAGTCGAGAGGGTGTGGGGTGGCTCCTCCCCAGGTGCCAGGGCTCAGGGCCACCCCAAGGCTGACCTGACCACTCCGCCCTGTGGCTGTGTTCTCCTGGCCTTTCTCATGCGCCAGTCTCCACTGGCACTGCCTGCTGTGTGCACTGGGCGCAGAGGCACACACGACCGCTGCTGAGCTCCCCCGGGGCTTAGGCCCTCCGAGCTGGGCTCCAATCCCGGCTCCAGGGTCCCAGTGGGGGCTTGAGGGGGAGCCCAGGTGAGGGCTGGGGCGCCTGGTGCCCTTCCCTCCGACCCTGGGCATCCCATGCGCAGCAGTGTAAACACCTGGTGCCTGGTGCAGGATGGGCACACATGGCCAGGCGCCCGGCGCGTGTTCACTAAGCCCCAGAGGAGCCTGGAGCCAACGCGGGCAAGTGCAGCAGGAGCACAAAGGACGCAGGCAGGCTGGCAGCGCACCCTGGGCTGCGAACGGCTTCTGTCACAGACGATTTCAGGCAGCCAAGCCACAGGGCCACAGGCTCAGCAAAGGCCAGGCGGCGTGGCCTGGAGAGGACAGAGCGGTGTCGGGCCTGCCTTTGCCTGTGCCTGCAGCGGCGCAGTGGACAAACTGCCCACCTCCACTGCGCTGTCTCCATCTGGGAACAAAGACTGGAAGGCCACAGCAGCCTCCCTGCCCCACCCTTTAGGACTGTCAGGGTGACCTTGTTTCTTGGGTTTTTTTGGGGGGGGGGGCAGAACTGGGGACTGAACTCAGGCCCTTGCACTTGCCAGGGAAGCGCTTATTCCACTGAGCCATCTCCCCAGGCTCCCATGGTGACCTTGTTTCTAACCCAGCACTCTGCAAGGCCCTACACCCTCAACCTGTCCCCTCCTATCCCAACACCGTGCTGTGGCTTCTCTTGCCATGGTCAGGAATCCTGGGGTCAGGGGGTCCGTGCTGCAATGACGGGAGCAGGACCTTCCTGGCTCCCAAATATGGGGTGGACTCTCCACAGGCCTGTCTGTGAGGCCTCACTTGGCTGCCACTGCCCTTCCAACCCTCCTGACAGGGCTCCGGAACCCTGGGTCTGCGGCCACGTTCACGGCACCCTCGGCACGGTGCCGAGTGCCCACGGGGACCACTCACCCTCATAGAAGCGGATCTTGTCCCGAAGGATCACCATGCCTTTTGTCAGCAGCTGGTTCTGGAAGCAGAGGTGAGGTATTTTGTCTCTGCCCCGCAGGAGCTCCAATGTCCACACCCCACTGCCAACTGCAAAGCCTGGACTTGCGCCAAGCTGGACGGCTCTCAGGTTGTCACGAGAGGGGAGGTGGCCACAGGGGCATCCTGAGAAACAGGCATACTCCTGGAGAAGCAGACCCTGAAGAAAGCGGGGGCTGCAGCGCTGACTGGCCTGTCACCCAGGCGCATGGTGGGCACGTAAGCTAGAGGCCTCAGCGATGCACACAGGGACACCAAAGTGTCTTCCGGGAACCACAGAAGGGAACGGTGTCTGCTGTGGAGGGGAATGTGGTGGTGTCATGTGCTGCAATGTGGATGCTTTAAAACACAACGCCCAGGGGAGAAGGCCACACACAAAAGGCCATGCAGTACTGGGACAGAAGCCTCATGCAAGGTGACACCAGGAGTAGTCACCCTGGCTCTCTGGCTAGCCAGGACACCCACCTGCAGGTACTCGGTGAAGAAGGACCCCAGCTCTGTCTTCAGCAGCTGCCTGCGTGGGAGGGGAGACGACAGTGAGTGCGCTAGGCAGCGGGGCCCCACCTGCTCGGCCTGGTTGTGTAGGACGGCGGCACATTCCACGCCACCCGCAGGCCACTGGCACCTGCCGGCCACCCCCAACTTTGATTTTTACTTTGCTATTTCCATTCGGGGAACTGTCTAGCCAGTCCTGAGCTACAGACTGTTCTCACTCTGCATGGTTTTGATGTGCACCAATTTCAGGGAAAGGGGTTTGAGTAACACCAGCTGCCCAACTCTACACAGTTCAAGTTTCAGTTCCCATAGCGCTAAGGACTTAAAAATAAGGGCTCCAGCGCTGGCTTCCAGGCCACCAATCACAACACAGCTAACAGATGTGCATCAAGGCTCGTAACCAATCACGGTACGTCTTTCAGAGCTGCTCTATGATTGGTCAAAAGTATGTGTCATTCAGTTCTGCACACCACAAAGTGTGCGGCCCTGTGGTTGTCCCCTCCCAACTCAGCCCGGTTCTCCCGGCAGGTGCCAGGACCCTCACATTAGCTGACTGCTGGACAAAACTACCTCACACAACACCCAACCTTGATGAAAAGCTCTTGTCACTAATACAGTATCGAATCTGAAAACAACGCCTGCTCGGGCGTGCAAGCACCGCTGGAAGGCTGAAGAATTTTAAGGTGACCGCCAGGGGCCACCTCATAAATGAAAAGTGATAATGTATTCCCGCGCCCTCAGGGAAGCTGAGGCTGGAGGGACGCCAAGTTAAAGCCCAGCCTGGGCGACTCAGCGAGCTCTAGTCTCAAAGAAAGGAAGGGCAAAGCAATAATCCTCTGAACAGCTGGTGGTGTTCAAGTGAGTCTTAGTCATGTTTTTTTTTTTTTTTTTTTTTTTTTTAATTTTTTTTTTTTTTTACATTTATTTATTGTGTGTACGTGTGTGTGTGTATGTGGCCAGCTCAGTCCACCAGGGGGCGCGTCTGGCTGGCATGTGGTGCTGGGGGATTGAACCGCGGTCCCTGTGCTTTGCTTAGCTTAGCTTGTTCCAAGTAGGTGCTTTAGACCACTGAGCCATCTCTCCAGCCCACTTAGTCATGTTTTTAAACGAAGAAAACACGTACGCATGTTCTTTGCTGAGCCAAGGTCCCACTACCTAGTGTGAGCTGGTCCTCAACGCATAGTGACCTCCTGCCGCAGCTGCAGCCTCCCAACTGCTGCAACCGCAGCTGTGCCCCACCACACCTGGCTATTCCTTTTTGTTTTGTATCAGGAATCGAACTCGGGACGGCATGCTTGCCAGACAGGCATTGTGCTCCTGAGCTACATACCCAGTCCCCCTGGCTACTCCTCACGTTTTAAATACAATGTCCCAAACAAATGTTCATATTACTACCTTTCTCATTTCTCTACACATTTACAGTGAACAGAATGACAGCTTTTAATATTCTGACACATTCTTAAGAATCGTGGGACCGCTGTAACTTCCCCCTGGATTACCAACCCTGCTCTGCACAGTTGCAATGGGCAGGATCACTTTTAGGTCGTGCTGAGCAAAGACAATTTTGAGGGAAAAGCAACTCAAGGAAGAAAAAGCCCCCAAAGCTCAATTTCTGTAGGAATCCCACCCTTCCTGCCACGCCCTGGGCCCCCAGAGGTGACACAGTTAACTCTTCTTACCCCCATGAGCTCTGTCAATCTTGGACTAAGGGAGGGGTGGGAGGGGTGGTGGCAGTAAACTGAGCTAGCCCGGGACACCTGGAGTGAGTGGCCTGCCCCGCCAACCCCAGGGGCCCCGAGGCCTGGGGGAAGCCCAGAGATGTCAGGGGGCTGGGCCGGGTGGCCAGTGTCAGCCACTGTGATGGGGCGGCGCCTACCTCTGATCACCCAGTCATCACGGGAGCTGGAGTCCAAGGTTGGGTCGCTAGAACAGTGGATTAGATACAGCCAGCCAAGGGGCTGGCCAAATAGCTCGGGGGATTAAAGTGCTTGCAAACAGGCACAGGCGCGGTGTGATCCTCTGGTCTGCCCCCAGCGCATGCTGAGATGGCAACTGAGACTGGGCGTGGTGGTGCAGGCCTGTAATCCCAGCTCTTGGGAGGCTGTAAACAGGCGGATCACTACAAGTCCAATCTAGTAGTGAGACCCTGAACACCCTGTAGACCCTTGCCTAAAAAACACTCAGCCAGCCACAGTGGTGGCACAGACTTGTCAGCCCAGCCCTCGGGAGGCTGAGGAAGGAGGATCACTTTGAGTCTGAGGCCAGTCTAGGCTACACCAAGAGTTCAAAGCCAGCCTAACTACATAGTAAGGCACGTCTCAAAAATAAAACAAAACGCCAACCAAAGAAACAATCCAAGCATGGCAGGGTATAGCTACTGCCTCACCTACACAGGAGGCTGAGGCAGGATTGTTTGAGCCCTGGAATTTGGGGACAGCTTGGGCAACACGGGAGACCCTGTCTCAAAAAAAGCACCAAGACCTCTTTGACACCTTTCCTAGGTTCTCAGGAGGGGCCTGCCCAGCCTGTGGGGGTATATGAAATTCATAGATTAAAATAGCAATGGTGAACCTATTAGAGCTTTCAGGGGTAGAACAGCCCGCTGAGGTTTGCACCACCAGGTCAAACCAATCTACCCCATGCCATGTGAGCCAAGCCACCCACAGACTCCTGGACAGCAAGGTGCTGGGCCACGGGGCAGCTCTGTGCACACTGGGAGTGAAAGAAGGGCAGGGAGAAGGGGGTGTGGGCAGCTCAGCAGCAAAGCACAACAGGGAGTCCGGGGGGACGGTGGCCCTGGACGGTGGGGGGCACTGTTCTCCGAGTGGCGGGGACAGGTGGTCAGCAAAGTCATGAGCAAAGCCAGCAGCTGGAGGACCCAGCCCCGCCTCTCCCTGTCCAAGGCCGCTTCTCCCCATCCAAGGCTGCCGGCCGTACCCCATGCAGGGGACCGAGGCTGCCCTGGCTGCACAAGGACACGGAGCACGAAGCAGCTGTACCACATGGCATAAGGCAGGCGCCTGCAGTGGATGCCACCAGGGCACCCAGGGCTCCGGCTCCAAGAAGGGGGTCATAGCCCTCAGGGACAATGGCCAAAAGACCCACTGAGAAAAGGCAAGGTCCCCAGCAGGCACCTGCTGCCCCTCAGACTGATCTGCCCCCTGAGAGTTTTCTCCAGGCTGGGCTTGAACTTGTGAGCTTCTTGCCTCAGCCTCCTGGAGTGCTGGGGGTTCGGGATGCGACACCATGCCTAGCGCCGACTGTAACAACTATCATATAAAGTGTAAAGAAGGGGACCAGGAAAGATGCCAGATAGCAGAGCACCCCAAAACCCAGCCCTGTGCCTCACAGGGCACCCCAGAGGGCGACATGCTCGGGTCAGCACGGGGGAGCTCCAGGCCTGGGGAACAGGCTGCCTTACATCCAGGCAACCTAAGCTCTGCACAGGCAGGAGGCACATTTCTCCCAAGACGCGCAGTGACCACACACACCATGGAGCCGACCTGTGCACAGTCACCAGGTGTTCGCACACCCACTATCATTGCTAAACTCAAAACCAGGCAATGCCAGGTGGCGGCAAGGGTGTGGGTGCCCAGCACACTAAGGGGGTCAGCCACAATGCGAAAGGCTGGCGGTTCCCCAAAACACCACGGGGAACCCAGCAGCCTCAGGCCTCACACCAGGAAGCCTGAGGTGACACATTCAGGCCAAACTCTGCCTACCACATGGCCACGGCCACGAGGTACAAGGAGGCCGAGGGTCCCCGACAGAGCAGCAGAGCAATGCTACAAACAGAAATGGGCACAGCAGAGCCTGAGAGCTTGAATGAGAGAAGCCAGGCACAAAAGTCACCCGGTGCCTGAGCCCAGTGAGTGACGGGGACAGTGGGAGGCAGCGAGCTAAAAACCGCTGAACCATAGAGGCAAAGGGTGAACTCCACGGCGCTAGAACTCAGTTAAGTTTACATCCAGCCAGGCGCCGCGCAACAACGGTAGCTGCTGACACCACAGTGGTCTCTAAGGGTGGCCTGCGTTTACTGTCACCACAGTTTTTGTCGGGCACACGGGTTTCACTGTGCCATGGTGGCTCATGGCCAGTCCTGGGCAGTGACACTGTGCACAGCCCACACCCATAGGTGCATGCCAGGCACCTCTGTGATGGGTGCACGTGGGGAGGTGGCTGTGGCCAAGTGACGCAGGTCTCGAACATGTTCCTGCTGCAGAGTGCGCTCCGGTAGATGCAAACACACACACACCCCGGACAGGCACAGGACGTCAGCCGGCTCTGCCTCTGGCCTGTTTGCCCGGGCGGAGGATGGCCCCAGGCACTTCCCGGTGCCACGCCCAGCTCCTGCTCCAGGGAGGAATGTGGCCCAGGGCGGGGCGGCCAGCCAAATGCAGGCACTCAGGGCCAGGGACAGATGAGGGGCTGGCTGGGTGAGCAGCCCCCAAGCTGTTAACTTGGGAACTTGGCAGCATTTCCTTTTTTTTCCTGCTTTTTTGGGGAGGAAGGGGTACATCGAACCTGGGGCCTCTGCACTGAGCTACATCCCGAGCCTTTGTGTTTGTATATTCTAACACAGGGTCTCCCTAAACCACGCGGTTGGTGCTTGTGAACCTTCTGCCTCAGCCTCCCAGTGCTGGGGTTACAGGTGGCACCTCCACACCTGGCTGCTACGGCAGCAGACTCTTCAGTGCTAAAAACCCACCTCCCTCAGCAGGAGCACACTAAGAAAAGAGTGCACAGGTCCCCCTCTGTGGGTGGCCCAGCTGTGGAGAGAAAGCACACCAGGACAGGTCAGGCTGAGGGAAGGCACCATACCCCTTCTCTGAGACTCTGGCAAGCCCCTGCCTCTCTGGGCCTCAGTTTTCCCTAGGCAAAGGTCAACGAAATGGGCATGGGTTGTCCACAGGTAAAATCACCCAACTCCCATTCCACTTACGCTTTCATCCCACCCTCAACAAGGAGGTTCTTTGCCTCTTTCTCCTGATAGGCTGCTTTGTTTGGTTTTGGTTTTCCTGAGAGAGTGTCTCACTGTGCAGTCCAGGCTGGCCTTGAACTCAAGGCCATCGCATGCCTCAGCCTCCCCAGTGCTGGGATTACACTTTTGACAGGAGGGTGGGCAGGCGGGCCAGGCTGAAGGCGAACACCTCCTGTACCAGCTCTGTGACTCTGGGCTCCAGCCTCCCCAGCCAAAAATGATGAGGGGAGCTGTGGCCACGCGGGTCACCACCTGTCCCTCCTGCCAGCTTTGCAACCCCAGTTTCCCAATAGTCATAGGAAATGAGGGGCCTCTGTGACTGAGGGTGCCTTTCCCAGATGAATGCCCCAGATGTCACGCCCACTTCCCCTGGCAGGGAGGCCAGGCCTAAGCACTGGCTGGGGGCTGGGGGTCCAGGACCGGCACTTACCGCACACCCTCGTTGAGGCTGAAGAGCTCCTGGTCCGGCAGCCCCTTGCGCTGGAAGACGGCAATCACCCCGTTGTGGATGCTGCAGGCAGGGAGAGAGAGGTGTCCACACCTGAGGCCCGGGCCCCCCAGCACCAGCAGCCTCCTCCCAAGACTCTGCAGTCCTGCAACCCCAGCCCTGGCCAGCCCAAGCAAAGGTCTGGTCTGGAGGATCCTGGTCACCTCTCGAGGCCTTCCAGGCCCCCTGCTCACACTCTGGTCAAAGCTTGGTGGGTTCTTCCTCCTCACAGGGCCAGAATTCTGGTGACTCTCCACTGGCCTCTCCTACCCAACATACCCACGTCCTACTGACTTCAACCTTGTTTTGTTTTTGAGACTGAATCTCGCTGTGTAGCTCTTTTAACTCACTATGTAGTCCAGGCTGGCCTTGAACTGGTGGCAGTCCTCCTGCCTTGGCCTCCAGGTGCTGCAGTCAGAGGTGGGTGCCGCATGCTGACCTCTGCAACCCTGCCTTCCTGTCTCTCCACCTCCACGGCCACCCTGAAGTCAGGGCCCAGGAGCACACACAGTGCCCCTCTGTAGGTGTTAGAACCCTCACCGGCCTGGTGGTCACACAGCGCGGTGGCTGAGGCAGGCGGACTGCCTCCTCTTTCCCTGACTGGCACAGGCTGGCAGGATGACAGCTGGGCTCGGGGCAGCGGCTGCAGCACTACCAGCTGGGCTGGGGCATGCAGTCTGAGGCCCTGAGGGGACCCAGCCCAGGAGAGCTGCTCCCCACTGCAGTCTATAACAGGCCACTGATTTGTGGGCATCTGAGGGCCACTGCAAAGGCAGCTGTCCCACAGCAGCTGCCACCCTGCCAGGCCGAGGGCCAGGCCTCAAGGCGGGCCCTGGGGAGGGAAGAGAAGACAGAGATGCCCGTGCAGAAGCTACTTGAGCCTCTGCGGGAGCCAAGTTCTAGGGGAGCTGCCTTCCACAGTCCCCTCTGGAAGGGTCCCAACCAACACCAGTCCCTAACCAGAGTAGCCCCCACCTGTCCATGAACCCAACCCCCACATCTGTGTGGAGCTGCTCTGGCCGGGGCTTCCAAGGGAGGATGTGAACTGTGGCTTACTGTGGACCCCAGCCTGTCTACCCCCACTGCCCACCCACCGGCTCTGGGAGCCCCAGCTTCCCCTAGCTGCCCATCTCCCCAGGCCTCATGAAACCTGCAGGTCATAGGCTGTGTGACGGGGAGGGGTGTAACACCACACCCACCCCGTCCTGCTGCTAACCACCAGCCTGTGGTGGGGACTCAGCTCCCAGGAGAACACAGAAAGCTCAAAGAGGCCCCGGGTTTGCCCAGTCACAAGTCTGCTGCTCAGCAGAGCCAGCGTGGGGTAGGGGCCCCAGGCCACAGTGTCCCCCAGGCCCTGGGTGCTCCATGCTCTTTCCAAAGTCCATGCTGGACTTGTGCAGCAAAGGCAGGGCGGAGAGGCCTGGGCCTCATGTGATTTGTCACCAGGGGAGAAGTGAAACCCTGCAAACAGAGCCCAGCAGGCGGCCAGGCCGCTGGCTGGGAGAGTACACCTGAGTCCCCGAAGGGCATGGTGGGGGCCGCTGGGGCCCCTGCTGAAGCCCCCAATTGGTGAGGCTCTCTGGGGTGTCACTGGCTCACACAGAAAGCTGGCGGAGTGAGGGGATGTGGGAGAGATGGAGCCCATCTTCCTGGGCCCCTGCCCCACTGCAGACCAGGATTCTGTGGCCTCAGAGGACCCAGAAGTGACAGTCTCTGCCTGGGACCCCTCCTTTCAGGACACCAGGTCATTTTCCTTTTGGTTTGGTGCAGGGTTTCACTCCAAGACCCCGAGTGTGCTAAGACGAGCTCTGCCGTGAGCCAACATGTCCGTGTCAGAACCCACGAGAAGAGGTGGGCGGCCGTGAAGGACCTGGCAGGGACTCAGAGGCCCTCCTGGCAGCAGGCACCTGAGCCCACTGCGGCCAGCGCGCAGGGATAGCGTGGTTAGTAGTCGTGTCCTTCCCGGCTGCTGCCATCCAGGCTTGCCTTCCTTGAAGAGGCTGGACCCTGGCTGGCAGGGAGCCTGTGCGCGGGGCAGAGGCCTGCATCCAGCCCCAAGTGCGCTTCATCTGGCTAAGATGGAGGCGTCAGCGGGGCCCAGGCCCTGTCCCTGCCTTTGCCAGCTTCTCGAGGTGCCTGTGCCCCTGGCTCCTGGTGCATCCTCACCCCCTGGGGCCCACAGGAGGCACCTTCGGGTCTCTGGTGCCCCATCACACCTCCATCCCGAAGGGACGCTACGGTGCACTTGTTCACTCAGGCAGACCTGTGATCACACGGGGCCTCCCAGACAGGGCAGCAAGGCCTCCACCGCTGGGGCCCCTAACTGGACATTTGTAGCCCTTTTTCAGGTGTAACCTGTACTCCACCCCATGTGTCCCAACACCAGACTGAAGAGGGGACCCGGAACCCAGCCAGACTGAAGAGGGGACTCGGAACCCAGCCAGAGCAGCAGGCAGGGGTTCTGGGGATCAACAGACCCCACGGCCTGGCTGGGCTCTGCCAACCAGGGCCCCAGCCTGGGGGTTTGGCCCGTTCTCTGGCCCCTTAAGACCCTGCAGGCCAGGGTTGGCCTGAACCTGGGCAGTGCTTGCCCCTCTCGGGCCTCGGTGGGCTCTTTAGCAAAATGGGAGCAACAAGCTCATCTCGAGGGTTTCGGGGATGCAGGCTAAGGAGGCAGCATGAACCCCAGAGGAAGCCAGCCAGTCGTGGAGGTGGGCAGAAGGGACAGCAACAGGCCCGCCTGGGCCCACTGCTAGGGATCTTGGGGCATTTTCTGAGGGTGGTCGGAGCCCCCTGGGTAGGGGCAGGTATGGCTGGGAGGCAGAGGCCAGCCCAGGTCACAAGGCTGCCTGGTCCCCTCCACCACGCAATCCTCATGTCCAGTGCCTAGATGCCCTGCTCCTCCTCCTCGTCTTGCAGGGGATACCGAGGGCTCCTCCAGCCCCAGGACAGACATGGTCCCTCAGCTCAAGTGTATGACCTTTCTGGGGCCAGGAACCTCCAGTGAATACAGGGTCAGAACCAGCTGGGAATGAACTGGGGTTGCCAGGGGGACAGGGACCCCTTCTAGCCCTGAAGAGGTGGTGGGTAGACCCTATCTATGCTGGTGGGTGGTAGGTGTGCCCTCGGGAGCCTCGTGTCCTCTTGTCACCCTGGGAGCGCCCTAAGGCACACACCTCAGTGCCAGGCCTGGCCCTGGCTGGGAAGAGGGCCAAACCCACCGGGCTAAGCGCAGCAGGCACATAGGAAACGACTGGGGTGGCTTTGGTTTACAGTCTGCGGGAGGCCCCGCTGGCAGCTGGCCTAGCACCCACCCCTGAGCACGCTTCCTGCAGCCCCGTGCTCCCGGGGGCAGAAGGCAGCGCCACGGCAGCAGTGCCGCTAGGTGCCCACTGGGACCTGCAATTACTCCTCTGCCAGCCTGTCTCTGGTTTACTTCCTGGCTCCCCCACCCCAGTCCTGTTGTCTGCTGAACCCACACCCTGGGCCCAGTGGTGCCAGCACGGAGGGTGGATGGAGGGATGAATAAATGCCTGGCCAAGCGCCTCGTTCCGTACACAACTGTGCAAGCTACATACTTTCAACCCATATCCAGAGGAGACAGAGGTGTGGGGAACTTGTGGGTGTACCTAGGGTCACAAGGCACATACAAGGATATCCCCCAGATATTCATCAGGCCTGATTGGGAAAGAAGTGTGGGCAGAGGTGATGGATGGCTAAGGATCTGGCGTTTTTACAGGAGGACAGAGACGTGGGCAGAGAAAGCCTGGGGAGGAAGGGGACAGGCTGGGGAGAGGCTGCCATAAGCCAAGGACACCAGGAACCCCTCCCTAGCTCCCGGCCTCCAGCCAGGGAGCAGGGCCTGGCCGTGCTGGAGAGGACACTGTGGTTTTAAGTCACCCCTTGGTGGCCATGTGCTCTCTCAGCCCCAGGGAATGAATACAGTCACACAGATGGGGGCTGAGGATCATCAGGCCATGGGTCACAGCTGTTCCTGACCCTGCGCAGGTCTTCTGGGGGAGAGGGCAGATAGGCAGGGACCCAACTGTTCCCCTAAGGACAGAGACAGCACAGAGTAGTCAGGGTTCAAGCCCTACCATCCACCAGGCTGCTACAGGCCAAGGGGTGTGGACAGGGCCGTAGGTGCCCTAAGGAGGATGCTGGTTAATGGGGTTCAGGAGATAAGGGGCCTTGGGGTGCTGGAAGGGAGGGGCTTGTATTTCTGTCTGGCTCAGAGTTCCCTCCCTGCAGGGCTTCCCTGGGCTGGGGCAGGCAGTGGTGGGGTCATGTAGGTTGGGCGAGGGGATGCTGAAGGCTCAGTCAGTATGTCCCCTCTCCCGAGACCCCAAGAGGAGGCCAGCCCACACTGCAGGGAGCTCAGGGAGTTGCCCTTGTGAAGGCTGGGGAACCCACTGAGGTTCTCCCAGGTGCCACACCTTTGGTCACACTCCCACAGTGGTCCTCCAAGGAATCTGGGCTGAACTGCATCACAGAGCGCCTATCACACTCGGGCACCTCGCTGAGGCTTACATTACGCATTTCCACATTTAACCTGCACCACAGCCCCTGAGGGCCAGCAGACACAATGCTTCACTGTTCGGACCAGAGATGTTAGCTGACTAACACACAACAGGAGAGGGGCAGAGGTGGGATCTGGGCTGAGCCTGGCCGGTCCACTAGAGCACAGCGAAGGACAAGCGGCAGAGGCCTCTATCTCCCCAGAACTTCAGGAGGAAAAAGTCCAGACGCTGAGGTGGTCTCAGACCAGAGACACTCCACCAAGGTCCACTCCCTCACTGCTCCGCCCCTTCCGCTGTCTGGGATTTTCGAGCACAGAAGATAAGCAAGCATGACCCTGTGCAGCCCGTCCCTGAGCGTCTACTGGGGCCCACCAGGAAGCTGGGAAGGAGTGAATAAACAGAAGAGACACGTGTCCAAGCGGCAGCCGGGATGCCAGTGGCCCAGACCACAGCCGGAGGAGCATCTGGTGCCTGTGGGGGTGGGGACAGCACCCGCAGACCCCGATCAATCCCTCTGTCCCCTTTGGTGGAGCTGAAAGTCCCCTGAGCTGAGAGTACTGTTAATCCTGAGAAGTAAGCCTTCTTCTTAAGGCCTCCCCGGTCAGGGCTGGGGGAGGGTCTCCCCATGTCCCCGGGTCCCAAACGGCCAGGGCAGGAGGTCTTCCGAGGACCAACCGGCCCTCCCGCGCCCAGTGGCCGCCTGGAGGGCCAGGTTTCCTTCAAGGAAATCAGCGCCCCCCACCAGGGAGCCTCCACGCGGGCACAGGAAGTGCGCTCCCAGCTGGGGCCCAGGGCGCGTCCGCTCATCTGCGAAATGGGAGACACTTCCTGCCATACCTGGGTTCCCCAGGGCGCGGGGCGTGGGGATCGGCGCGGGGCCCCCTCACCGGGTGCTCGGTCCCAGCTCCGGAACGCGGGGCGCAGAACTTCTCCAGCCGCCGGGGGGGGGTCCCCGCGCAGCGCTTCGCTCGCTCCCCGAGCCCCCCCCCCGCCACCGCCCCAGGGCGCCCCTCACCTGTTCCAGGTGGCGTTGGCGCAAGCCCGGCGCTGCTGCGAGCCCCGCTCGTCCGCGGCGGCGGCGGCCGGCTCTCTTTTGCCCAAGTCACTGAGGCTGGGCGAACTCATGAACTTCAACCTGCGGAGAGTCCTCATGGTGACCCCGGTGGCCGACCAGCACCCACGCACGCTGCACCCCGCCACGCCGCGCCGCGACGGGCTGCGACGCGCGCTCTACGGGGAAACTTGGGCGAGAACAGGAAGCCCAGCTGCCCCTCGGGGTCCCGCCCCGGGCCTGCGCCTCCGCCCCAGGCCGCGCGCCTGCCGCCCCGCCGGGTTAATCATTGCTGAGCAGGACAGCGTGGAGCGCGCGCCGCATCGGCCCGGCGCAAACGCAGGCGGGGGCGGGGCCGCTCTGGGGGCGGGGCCTACAGGGAGGCGGCCTGGGCGGGGTCCACATCGGGCGGGGGGCGTCGAGGGCCCGGCAGGGGTGGGGCTCGGAAGGGGCGGGGCTCGGCGGGGGCGTGGTTGTGGGTCTGGGCGGGGCTACGGGCGGGGGCGGGGCTCGCCTCCAGGCACCCAAGGCTGCCTCGCAGAGGTCAGTCTAGCCTTTGGGGCCACCGTCGGCCCCTTCTCTTCGTTGGGCCAAACGTGTCCAGAGGAAGCCGACAGGTGGGGTGCATGGCCCAGCCCCTTGTTCATCCCGTGCTCCACCCTGAGGTCACACCTGCACCCACACCATGGGTGACCAGGAGGAGCCAGAGAGAGACCTCATCAAGGCCCCACGCAGTTCACCTGGAAAAGGCTGTGCCCACCAAGGTCCCCTGCGGCCCCTTCACTTGGGCGCACACGCCTGTGAGGTTCTAGCGAAGGCTTCCGGCAGAGGCCTTCAGACAGAGGTGGGGCATGGGGGTCTCTGGCCGGGGCAGCCCCCACCCGTGTGTGGACGGCGGTTGAAGAAGGGGCCCAGCCTGCCACTGCTGCCCTGGGCTGGACAGGCCGGGGGCTCCGCAGCGGGAGGGCAGGGCCTGTGCTTTCTGGGCTGCTGGACAGCATTAGAGGTTCCTCACAGAGCCTCCCTCCCTGAGAAAGATTGCTCCCGGCTGAGGAAACTGAGGCTCACAGAATGAGATGACCTGGCCCAGTGACCTTCGATCCTCCCGGAGCCCTGTCCACCCCAGCTTCTGGGATGCCTACAACGCCCTCCTGCCCACTCTGGAGGACCGGGGCCAGGAATGGCCCAGGCCTATAACCCTTAGGAGGCTGAGGCCGGAGGTCTGCCACACACTTGAGGCCAGCCTGGGCTACGCAGAGTTCAAAGTCAGCCTGAACTACATACATCGTGAGAGCTCATCTCACAAAACCAAAAACCAACAAACAAAATCCGGGTTTACTCAGTGAGTTCTTGGCTAAGCTGAACTACACATTGAGACCCTGTGTCCAAAAAGAAAAAGCAGGCCAGGGAGATGGCTCAGTAGAATAGTGCTTCCCTGGCAAGTGCAAGGGCCCGAGTTCAATCCCCGGTTCTGCCAAAAAAAAGAAAAAAACGAATGCTCGCTCGGTGCGGTGGGGTGCACGCCTGAAATTCCAGCACTTGGGAGGCTGAGGCAGGGCTGCCAGGAGTTAGAGAACAGCCTGAACTACAGAGACCCTGACTGGAAAACCAAACCCAGACAAAACAAACTAGGGCTGTGTCCTCAGGCAGTAATTTCGCAAGACCTATGGGTCCCTCTTCTTTGTCCCTCGATGGCACCTGGGTCAACCTTGGTGACCTCTCCCCGCCTTCGGCCTCCTGATTCTGCCTGCTTCCCGCAGCCCTCCAGCTGCTGGCTTCTCTGGCCTAGGCCACTGACCCTTCCTGGCCAGTCAGGTGGCCTCACAAGCCCTCCCCTCGTGGTGGCCAGAGCTGCCCTGGTGCCCGTGCTCCCACTGGCCCAATCCTTGAAGGGTTCTTGTCTCCATCGCTTCCCCTGATGCTAGGATGGAATTCCTGACACACCCGCGACGTGAGGGAGGAGAGGTTTATTTTGGTTCACATTTTAGTCCACAGCTGGCGGGCTCCAAAGCGGGCCGGCAGAGCAGAGCGGCTCACCGCACGCACGCACGCACGCAGTGTGCACAGGAAATAAACAGTGGAGGGAGGAGCCAGGCGGAGCGGCGTAACCTTAGAGGCCACACGCACAGAGACCGCCGCAAGTCAGCTACAAGCCCCCGAATCCGATTCCTGGGGACCTTTAGACATAAACCACAACACTCTGCGCACGGCCCCTGGAAGACTCATGAGCATCGCTTTATACAAAATGCATTTAGTCCATCTCTAAGAGTTGCCAAAGTCCTAATAGTTTGGCATTCTAAAACATCCAGGTCCAAAGTCTACTTTGAGGTTTAAGACAAATTCTTAGCTGGGAGCCCCTGTAGAAATTCAAAAGTTAAACATGGCCAACAATCGATTGCCCAGGGTAAACATTCCCTTTTCAAAAGGGAAGAACAGCAACAAATGGGTACAAAGAAGACCAAAAGCCAGCAGGGCAAATGTTAGATCTTGTATGCCCGTGTCCTGTACAGGAAGCAAGTTGGGACAAGATGTGAATTCCCAAGAACTCTGGTGGCCCTGCCCCTACTGCACTGCTGGTGGATGTGGCCTTCGTAGCCCCTCTCTTGGGCTGGCTTTGCTCAGTCCCCCGGCTTTCCTCAGTCAGTCCATATTCCTGACTTTGCCAACTTCCTGCGCTCTCCACTGCACATCTGGTTGAATGCACGGCCCTCAGCGGTGCACTGCCCGGCCTCGTGGGCCTTCTGAAATCTGGGTGGAAGCCTGCAGCCCCCACAACTCTTGTATTCTTTATGCCCATAAAAGTACCATGTGGATGACGCCAAGGTCCGCCACCAGCTGCAGCAGGAGCCAGGCCTCCTCGAGTCAGGACTGCAGAGGCCCCTGAGTGCCTAGCTGACTGAGCACTGTGAGCTGAATTCCACAGGTGGCCCCTCCAGAGCGAGGTGCCCCCTCCTGGGGCTCTCTACTCATATAAAAGTCTTTTACCACAGATGCTCCCAGCCTGGGAGGGATGCGGTCTCGCAGGTTGTCGGCCGCATTTAAGCCGTTTTTCTATTGTTCTGTTGTAAAGTGGTTGCTTTTTACTGCTAATCTTTTCAGCAACCAAGCTGTTCTTTGCTTCAACTGATCAGTCCCTTCCTTTCTGGAGAAAAGGAAAACTTTTCAAATGGACTTTTTCCTTCTGATTTTTAGGATAAGCCTGAAAAAACCAAACAAACAAACAAACAAAAAGCAGCAAACCATACCCATGCTACAGCATGAACGTTGGACTGCTTTGAAATGTCCTCCTTCAGACTAATAAGGCTTCCACACTTAACCTCATTCTCCCACAAAGTCTCAGGACATGAACAAAATGTGGACAAATTTTACACGGGAGCATAACATGCATGGCCTGGAGTCCAGTTGCCAACGGATTCCTTCCAGTGCAGACCTCCTGAGTCTGGTCTTTCCTGTCTGTCTGTCTGTCTGTCTGTCTCTTTTTCAGCATTCTGGTCTTCTGAGTTCGGGCCAGAATCTCCTGTCCAGCATGGCTCGCCGCATTCTGGGGCTGCTCCTCCAGACCTTCTCAGATTCCTTCTGAGCAGCAAGGCTTGCACACCCCACCGTCGGGCAGGTACTGCTAGAGCAGCGGCCCCGCTTGTCTGGCGCTAAGCTTCTGTCTTAGCTGCCTCCCTCACTTTTGGGACACAACCCGGACACCCCCTGACCCACAACTCAGGCCTTGGATCCAGGGCAGGGTGGCATGGAAGAGGGGCATGGTGGAGGAGTGCTGCTTACGGCACGGTGGACAGGAGGCACAGATGGGAAGGAGGGGCTGGGAAGCAAGGGACGCTCGCAGGCCACATCCACAGTGACTGCCTCTTCCGGCCAGCCCGGGCCTCCTAACAGCAAGCCAGCTACGAGCTCTGGGATCCAGTCATCTCCCAAAGACGCCAGTCATGACCCCAGGAGGCTCTAGGGGACATCGGGATGGGAGTGCTGACAGGCCTTCAGGACGTGCCTGCCTTCTCTGACCCCCGAATGTCCTCTCCCACTTTTCTCTCTTCCTCTCCCCTAGGTGCAGGTGGCCTTCTTGCTGTCTGATGGCCTTCCCACTCTCTGCCATAGCCAGGAGGGCAGGGACCGCAGTGTGTCTAGGGCTCCCTCCCGCAGGCATAGCACACGGTAGGTGCTTGTTTGGTATTTGATTAAATGGCTGCAAACTTGTTTCTCTCTCAGGAGAGAAAGGGTTATATGAGCCCACGTTAGTGACAGTGCTGTGTACACTGCTCACAGCTCCGCTGCGACACTGAGTCATGTTGCTGTCCCTGATGTAAGGGCAGCAGATGGAGGTGGCGGAGGCCGGGTGACCCTGTGAGAAATCGGAGGGGAAAAGGCCAGCCCAGTGGGGACCTAAGGGAGGGACAGAGAGGATGGGGGCCAGGGGTCCTCATGCGAAGGCGCTGGAGCTGTGGGAAGATGTGGGAGGTAGGACTAGCTGAGGGGTTGAAGGACCACTCCAGCCTGCATTAAGGGACTAGCCTGTCACCCCCAGCTGTGTAGAATCTGTCCATGCCACCAGCCTAGTGCCAGGTATGTGGTGGAGATGCAGACACAAGGGTGCTGACCCTCTTGGGTCAGGGGCAGGTAGAAAGGCACGGCTCCCAGGGCTGGAGATCTGAGGCAGAGGCGAGGAGGCGACAGCTGTCCCAGCTCCCCAGGGCAGCAGGTGGGGAGTCAGAAGCCCCATTCAGCCCCTCCATGTGTTCATCCCATGGTGGCTTCCAGTGCCTGAGAGAGAAATCCCTAAGCCCCACTGCAGGCAGTCTAGGTCTGAAGACGGAGAGGCTGGCAGAGCCCCTGGCCTGGCTCTCAGAAGCACCAGGGAACAGACGATGGCCTCTGGGAACAGATGGCCTCTGGGCCAGCGCCCTGAGCTGCTCATGAGCCTGAGGCACCCTCTGGACCCTGCTGCCCACTGATGCCTCCAGGGCCTGAGCACGGCCAGGTGCTGCCTCACAGGATGGTGCAGTGGCCCTGGGCGGGGCTCTCTGGGAAGAGACTGCCCCTCGGGAAGGATGTGAGGGCCAAGGGGCAGCACTCACACCCCTAAAGTCAGAGAGGGGCCCCCACTGCAGACCTGTGTCTTCTCTCCTGGGGCATGCATAGCTCACACAGGGTCTGAGTCATCAAGGGTGACCCGCATCATTAGGCAAGTCCTGGCTGGGAGGCCCTGTCACTTGGTCAGGCAGCTGGGTAGGTCAAGGCATAGTACTCCACTGCCCTGCAAGCTGCCCAGGAGTCTCTGCCAGGAGAGAGAGGCTGACCCCTCAGTCCATGTGCTCCCCCCAAGCTTTGGGTCCCTGGGGCT